TAAGAAAGAACTTGTATCGCTGAAGTTTCTCGGAAAGAATTTCTAAGGGAAATTAACAAACGAACAGAGACGTAACAGTATGTTGAGGAACAGCTTTTACAGTGTTTGTTAACAGACTAAAAGTATATTATGTGTGGTTAAACACAAATTTACAGATTTAATTAAACTTTTAGTTTAACTACGAACATAAGTTTACATCGTGTTAGTTTAACTAAGATGTTAAGTTTACATCTTATTAGTTTAACTACGATGTTAAATTTGCATCTTAATACATGAAATATAAGAGGTTCCCTTTCCTCATGTTTAGATAGGATATAATAAGTTTCATTATTGGAAAATAGTGAATCGTTACCCACAAATTATTGACTAGGTAGTTGATTTGAGTCGTATCGATTTCTTACTACAGCGACATCTAGATGTCATTTTGTTATCTTCAACCCCTTCCTTGCATATGAAGCGTTATACAAGCATTTAAAATAAGAAGGAAAAAAAAAAAGGTGTGGGAACATTTTGTTATTGTTAACAATATCTATGTTTGTTACTTACAAAATATCCCTTTAAAAACAGAAAAAGAAACCGAAAGAACTTAGTCGTGTTATGTAATAAGACAAATTTTATACGAGAAAATCAACTACTAAAAGCAGTAAAACTGATCCGCATGAAGTAATTAAGATGTAATGAAGTTGATAGATAGGTTCGTACACAATAATATTATGTGCTGTTCCACAATATCGTGTATCAAATATGTAGAAAGATACGAAGAAACGTAAAAACACACACACACAAAAACGATTTATTGCACTATCAATGTTGTATTGTTCGAATACACGTACTTAAAAAAAAAGAAACAGAGCTAGATAAATAATGTAATGAATATTAGTGTACAGGCTGGGCATGTTGGAAAAGATCTGAGTGAATCTGTTTTATTCCGAAAAGTAATTATGATTTATGTAACTACGCACACCAAATAACATCATTATATATATATAAACATACACAATCTAGTTCAGTAATAACGTGCATCATACAGAAAGATTCTCTAGCACTACCGCGTGCCGGTTACTGTTTCCATGTGACGTCACGCAATTGACTACGTTTTATTCCAACATACTGTTGGTATGAGCGTGCTTTACAGTTAATATGAGAAAACCTATACACTGGATAGGTGAAGAAAAAAGTGTCATTGGTCACTAGTCAGTTCTTTACATTATATAACCACACAATAGCAGGTATAATAAATAAACTTAGTATTCCAAAAATATGTCTAAGTGTAAGTTCAGGGGAGGTCCAGGTCAATCTACGTTGATCAAAGTGTAGATTGAACTGGACCTCCCTTGAAGTTAGACTTTGAGATTAAACAATTTTCGGGATACTACGTTTATTTATTATATCATTTATTGGTTGCTCATAAGTATTAATATCTGTATTTAAGGTAAAGGTCATCTATCTCTCCAACAGTTGAAACTTTCATGTTGTTGCTTCGGGTAAAATATTTTAGTTGAA